CCCACACCCACACCCACACCCACACCCGCTAAAACTCTAAACAGAAGGACTATGGGCCCTTATCCTTTTGGGGTTTACATCCTCACTGGAGTCTGCTTTATACACAGAGTGCGAATTCAAAACCCATGAATCACTTGGGATACTTCCACTGTTAGTGTACTCTGATCGAAAGCATCATCCTATCTTTGATTCTATGATATTGGCTACAATTATCACTTCAATACTATCGAAATCTTGTGAGCGTCATGTCTCGATATTTTTTGGCATCTATAACTGCGAAGCCTCTCATTCCTAAGCTAAGTGATATAGTCATCTTCATAAAGAATTTGTTGAGAAATCAATTCAAAATAATGAATACTTGACTGATGTATTCAACGTTTGCCTTAATTACTAGTAGTCTCTGATCTTAAGTCTAGTATCAATAACTCTAGCTAGTTTCGACCAATTCGTCTAGAAATTTTCGTAATGTACTGCCATGATTCTTAAGTTTTCGATGGAACATTGAAAACTGTAGCTCCACATATGGATGCGACAGAGCCATTGAGAAAGTATATTATAGAGCATCTCGCGATTTCTGGAACTTCTGATACTGTGCTGTACATTTCAGATCCGAGAAACTTGGTATATATGACTACCATAAGAGATAAGAAAGCCGCGAACAGATCATTTAAACACAAAATGGGAAGCAAACATCTTCTACGATGGCATTTCACTTTAACTTCTTCAACAAATGAGACAAAGTACATCAATATACATGAAACTCTACTCTACTGGTCATTTTAGATTTATTAATGACACAATATTCTTCTTTAGCTTTAAAGCCAAATCCTATGTAGGCAAGAAGTAATTTTCACTTAGATATACTTTGTGTCGTCTGTGAAATAAGTTAAAGTGAAATGTCATCGAAGAAGATATTTGCTTCTCGTTTCGTTTTGGAATGATTTATTGGTGTCTCTTTTTATCTCTAATGTTAGTTATATATACAAAGTTTCTTGAATCCGAGACTCACTACATAGTATTATAAATGCCACAATTTGTAAACTGTTCTATGATGAACTATCTTGATGGCTCTATCGCATCTTTATGTAGAGCTACAGCTTTCAATATTCCATCAAAAGCTTAGATACCCATTTCAGCCCGTTAATAAAATTTTCAGATGAATTGATCGAAACTAGTTGGAGTTATTTATGCTAGGTTCAAGATCAGGGACTACTAGTAATTGATGGAATTGTTGCATACCGCAGTAAGATCTTCTTTATTTCGAATTGACTTCTCAATAAACTTCCCTCTGATGATCACTGCATCATGAGGCTTCCAAATGAGAGACTATGCGCTAATGGGTGCCAAAACATAAGGAGACATGACATTCACAAGGTGATGATAGTATTGAAGTGATAACTGTGGCAAACCTCATGGAGTTGCAGGGAACATGAGGCCTTCGATCATAGCGCACTAAACCCAGCAGTTAACACACACATCAACCCAAAGTAATACCAAACGATGGCATGTCCCAAGAGTGATAGATATTTTTAACGATGTCTGAATTTCGACAATTCCAACTTCTTTTAATTACCAGCAACAGTTCACATTAACAAAGTTTCGTGCCTAAAGATGTATAATAAAAATTTAACCAGACTGGAAAAATATTTTTCCATCGGAAGTTCTATCCTAGGTAGATGTCGACCGATAAGAGCGACATATTTTACAGAGCAGAAAGGAAGTAGATGCTAAATCCTTGCTGAGTAGAATGAGATAAAAGATTAGGAAACGCTTCATATATCAAAATTTTCATATAGAAGGAAATATAAGTATTATCTGCATACTATGGGATATTTGATTTCAATCTGAAGTTTCCAACAAAAGAAGACACTCGATTTCAAAAAGAAATGGGGTTCTTGGGTTTCTTTAGAATTAGTCATCAGATTATTAGCTATACATCCTCTTTCTCTAGAGGCGGGGGACTAGGGGGTTTTGAGAGTCCTTCAGAATTATTTCTCGTAATTCTAGCAGTTGATAGCCTAAAATGCTGCGGTCTAACATTATAAATATCATGAATACTTATAAAATCCGCAAGAATTTGGAGTGCCCCCATCACCTAAAACAAGAGGATGTATAGCTATTCATGTGGTGGATAAGTCTAAAGACTCCCCACGACCTCTCTAGTCCCCCCCCCCCCCCCCATCTGTAGAAAAAGAAGCCTTCTAGCTAATAATATGTTGTATAACACTCAAGACTATCAAGATTCCCTAGTTCTCCCAACTCAAAAAAAAGCTATTAACGCGATCCCTTGCAGGATTAAAAATGTGAAACACGATGGATCCATTGTTACCTAACTAAATGGAAATCATTTTGTTCCATTTCTTTGCGATACATTTGTAGCTAATCGTTTATCTGATGCTTTAGAGCTAAAGTTTCACTTTCACAGTGTTGGATGGGTACGGAGATTCTCTGTGAAGGTCTGTGGGAGGGAGATGAGTGCGTGCAAAATTAGTATCCTATGCACTTGAAAACTACTTTCAAATCGTGTTTCACAAGAAAGGCGTGTACAATTACTAATGTATTAAATAATGCTACAGACTCAGAAAAACCTCCTCGTCTCGCTATCTGGAAAAAAAGGGGTCTATAGCTATAAATATGATGAATAATTCTTAATCTCCCCTCCACCAAGACCCCCTAGTCCCAGCATGTCTTAGAAAAAGTGGCTCTACAGCAATGAATATGATGAATAATTCCAAAGACTTCCGAAGTTCCCTTAGTAACGCAAACTAAAAAAGGGCTCTGTAGCTACTAATATGATGAATAATTCTAAAGATCCCCAAGAACTCTAGTCCTCGCCTCTCTAAAAGGAGGATGTCAATGACTATTAAGATGGTGAGTAATTTTGCAGACCCTGAATGTGTATAGGAGATGGGTGAGTGAAATGGGATTTATTCGTTGGTTAGTTTTTTGTTGCTGTCTCGTTCGATGTTTTGATCAATTATCTCAGTTTGAGTAAAGTGTGCGGCTGCTGGATGGTCGTCAGGAAGAATGCTTTTTTCTAACCCCTAACTCTCCTTTCCCTTCTCGTGCATGGGCAAAGTCGATGGTCTTTTTTTCAGAATTCAGGTTGAAATCAAAACACCCAGATATTCATAATTTGGTAGTCTCTCTGGAAAAAACCAGTTGATCCGAAGACTCCATCTGCTGGTGAACTTTGCTTATACCGCTATGGACGACTCCTTGTTGATGTTATCAAAGAATGATGTCAGAAATATTATTGTAGATAGTATATTTGCCAGAAAATGTCTTAACTTTTTTATTCTTCCTTTTATCCTACAAAACTTTTCCTCCTGATGGGGTAATATCAGATGCTGAGGAAGAGACCTAAACTGAAACTTTTTTCTTATCGTGAACTTAGCTGACAAATCAACCTGCATCATGAATGTGAGAAGTTTTAAGACATTTTTGCAAACTATCAAAATATGACCCTTCATTAAACAGCAACACTACAATGACATAATAATGCAATTTATTACGTCGAATCGCTGAGATCATTATCTCTGTCATATTTTAATCTTAATAAAGTATAAGATTTCATTATCAAAAAAAAAGAAGTTAAAGATGAAACTTTTTCAATTCATTTCTAACATTGTTTACTGTTAAGCGAAAGGACTTGAGCTTGGTTGAACGTTTATTATCGTGAGAATATTATCTTTTCTGGCTCAATGAGCAATTTATTTCTTTTTAGTGACTGTTTCATCTAAAGCTTATGGTATAAATTCCAACTTCAACCGGTTTTCTATTTTCATGATCGATAGCAGTTAGACCTACAACAGATCCAGTTCAGTGAAATAATAAAGCCAGGCTGTGTAGAGGCACCCATAAGACCACATCGACTATCCTACAGAGGTACCCACAACTCTTCAAGGTCTATCGTATCATGCACCCATAAAACCTCATGGGCTATCCTATAGGGGTGCTCATAAGATGTCATGGGCTATCCTATAAGGGTGCTTATAAGACCTCACGGGCTATTCTATAGGGGTACCCATAAAATCTCACGGGCTATTCTATACGGGTACCCATAAAATCTCACGAGCTATCATACAGAGGTACCTAAGACTTCAAGGCCTATCGTATGAGGTACCCATAAAACCTCATGGGTCATTCTGTAGGGATATCTATAAGACCCCATGGTCTATCGTATAGGGGTACTCGTAAGAGCTGATCGGCTATCCTGTAAAGGCACCCACAACTTTTGAAGGCATATCATATGGGATACCTATAAGACCGAATGGGCTGTGGTGAGACCTGGCCACGTTCCCAGAGTTCGGGAACTCACTAGGAATTCGGGAACTCAAAAATCAATTAACACCAATAAGCGCTAAGAAACTAAAACGCGACAACGATATCAAGGACCTCTGGGAACTCTGGGATATCAGGGAACTCTGGGAACTGTGTGATAACAGGGAACTCACGGAACTCTGGCATATAATTGCGTGAAGCAAATCAAGCAAAACATAAGATTAACAAGGAAACCAAATCAAGAGTATTTACATACGCAAATCAACTCCAATTCTATGATTGCTATCAGAGGGATAGTGTATCAAGAAAGTGTATATCATCTACTACGGTCGTGGCCGGCTCAGTAACACAATTCGCTGTAACTTGAAAAAGACTATACATTTATTTTCGTTAGTGGTGTCAAATATGACACTTGAATTCAATGAAAATTTCAAGTTTCAGCTTCCGAAATGTGTGCGAGTCGATAATGATAAAACTTCTTTTTCCGCACCCGCACAGGCTACGATGATCTGAGTCGACATTGATGGATATTGTCGGTTTCACACGTAAAATTTCAATTAAATTGCGTGTTTAACTTTGAAGTAAATGATTTATTTGGGTTCGGAAGAGTCAGAATATTAACTTCAGCTTGAGGGTGAGTACCTTTGTTTTCTTTGGGTTGGGTGCATCGAACCCAACCCAAATACATATAGAAACCCACTTGCAACTTACGATGAATTTATTAGCCGAACCCAACCCAAACAATTATAGAAAGCAACTTGCAAAATAAAAACAACTTCTTCATTCAACATGCCACAAATAAATAAAGATACTCACTTATACATGGGTGTGGGTGTGGGTGACTGTAGGTGAGGGTGTGGCCGGCTGAGGGTGTATCTGTGGGTGGCTGTGGGTGTCGCTGTGACTGTGGGTATGGCTGTGGGTGGGGATGGGTGTGGGTGTGGGTGTGACTGTGCAGCGTGGCTGAGGATGCGGGTGTCGATGTGGGTGTGGTTATGCGCATGACAGAAGACGCCAATGACATCCGTACCAACAACCATACCAACATCCACCCTCCCAGACTTCCCTGATATCCAAGAATTCCCTGAGTTCCCTTATATCCCAGACTTCCCTAGTATCCCAGAGTTCCATTATATCCTAGAGTTCTCTCTATTCCCAGATATCCCAGACTTCTCTGACCTCACTCATATCCCAGGCCTCCCTGAAACCCCACACTTCCCTGAGTTTCCTGATATCCCAGAAATCCCTGAAATCTCAGAGTTCCCTGAGCTCCCTGGTGTCCCAGAGCTTCCTGATATCCCATAGTTCCCTGAGTTCACCAACATCCCAGAGTTTCCAGAGTTCCCTGGTATCCCAGAGTTTCCAGAGTTCCCTGGTATCCCAGAGTTCCCTGATATCCCTGAGTTCCCTTATATCCCACAGTGCCCTGATATCCCAGAGTTCCCCGAGTTCCCTGATATTCCGGAATTCCCCGACTACCCTTATACCCCAGAATTCCAAGAATTCCCTGCAATTCCAGAGTTCCCTGAGTTCTATGATATCGCAGAGTTCGCTCCTATCCAACAATTCCCTGATATCCCAGAGTTCCCTGTTACCCAAGGGTACCCTCAGTTCCCTGATATCCCTGAGTTCCCTGATATCTCAGACTTCCCTGAGTTCCCTGATATCCCAGAGTTCCCCAGATATCCTAGACTTCCCAGATAACCCGAGTTCCCTGACTTTCCTGATATCATGGAGTTCCCGCAGTTCCCTGATACCCCTGAGTTCTCGGATATCCCTGATATCCCTGAGTTTCCTGATATCAATGAGTTCCCTTAAAGCCCTGAATTCACTGGTATACCAGAGGTCCCTCATATCTCTGAGATCCGGAAGTTGCCTGTTATATTAGACTTCCCTGATATCCCAGAGTTCCCTGATATCCCAGTGTTCCGTGATATCCGTGAGTTGCCTGATATCTCGGCGTTCGCTGAGTTCCCTGAGATTCCACCGTTCCCTGAACTCCCTGACATACAAGACGTGCCTAATATCCCAGACTTCCCTGAGTTCCCTGA